TCAATTTTAACTACTTCAGTCTCATCAGCTACAGTCTTTTTCCACCGCAAAAAGTATTAACTTTTTACATTGAATTTCTTTCTTCAGGGTATTCCATTTTTATAACATTAGCACATAGACCCTGTTCTTTCATGAATAAGAACACGCAGCTCTAGAAGTATTCTAAACACTAACCTAATCGACTGCAGTATATAACACAGGAGTATAATGTGTTCCAAATCTTTACAGAAAGTTTTAAAATAAAACCTTCTCCACATGTCCTCTTTGGCCCAAATGTTCTCAGACTTTCCCAGAAATACTCAAAGCATGGGAAATAATGCTTTAAATCCTTTAAGGTCATGAAGATCAGGGAGCCCTAATACCCAAAGTCACACTATCCAATTAAATGTTTGGCTCACTGGCTACAAGAAAAGCAAAGGGGAAAAAAAATCAACAGCAAGCAAAGGGTTGAAAAATCAACTCACAGAATCTACCACATTGCCTAAGTGGCAACTCGAGTTGCCAACTCTGGCAATGCTTCAATGCCAATCCTAGCTCAGCACCAGATTTCTTCCAAAGTCTGTTTCTTCCCCAAGTTGTCCATCTAATACTCTCATTCTAGACACTAGATCAGCTGTGATATAAGTGATTTGCATGACAGTGGGCATCTATTTTTCAATGAGTTCAGATAATCTCCAAAATCTAGTTTATCAATATGTAATTATATAACCTTTCAAACTTTGAATCTAAAGTCCCAATTTCCTGAAATATAAATTCACAGTATCATGAAAATAGAATAATCATGACTCAATGAGGTAAGTGAATTCTGGTGCTGGGTTTTGAATTAACACCTTTGTGGTAACTTACAGCTAAGGGATCATGGGCAAGTCAGTGACCATCCTGTGCCCCAATTTTCTTATCTTGAAAATGAGAATAGGAATTGTACCCATCTTATAGGATGGCCGAGAGAATGAAATGAATTAACATTTTTAAAGTATCTAAGATATACAAAGCTTATGGAGAAATTCCCAAGAGACTATAAAAAGATGAGTACTACTTCTCCTTGAAACACCGGGGACTCCGTTATGATCCTCTTTAACACTGTTGACTCCTCACTGAGAGGTGTTCATGTGTTATTAAAAAAAAATTAAATTTAAGGTTATAGTAGATAAAGATTCAAGGTAACAATTGTGAAATCATGTATACTTCAAGGGAAAGTAGTCAATAAAGTGACCCAACATGATTTGTGACCCACAGGAATAATTCCCACAGTTCCCCTGCTGGGAAAGCTCATCTCAGGAGGAAAACACTGCACTGAATATTTTATTTCCAAACTCTTCCTCTCACCCATTGATAAATTATGTTCACAAAGTTAAACCTCAATAAAATAAATATTTAAATACGTATATGCCACATCCATTTCCTAAAGTTTAGTAATAGAATCACTTACAAAACCTAATAATAAAAGTTTCTGTCTTCCCTAGGGCAAAAAAAGTTTTTCTAAAAAAAAAAAAAAAAAAAAACTTTATATTTTAAAAAAGAAATGCTCATTTCAAATACACAATGGATAATTAACATGGAGAAATGGGGTTTTTTTAAACAATATTTTTTATTTTGATATTGTGGGGTACAGTTAAGGGTTAGGTATACAAATATGCTTCATTCGGGTCCCCTTGTTAATAACAGGTGTCTCCCCGTCCCCAGACAGATGTTTACTACCATTAGTCCCATCCCCCGCCCCCATAGTTTCCCACTACTGGAGAAATGTTTTTAACACCTGAGTATTAGGTCAGGTGCGCGGCTCACATCTGTAATCCCAGCACTTTAGGAGGCCGAGGCAAGAGGATTGCCTGAGCCTGGGAGCTCGAGACCAGCCTGGGCAACTTGGTGAGACCTCGACTCTACAATAAATCACAAAAAACTAACCAGGCATGATGGCGTGCGTCTATAGTTCCAGTTACTGGAAGGCTGAGGTGGAAGGATCACCTAAGCCCTGCAGGTTGAGGCCACAGTGGCCGTGAGCATGCCATTGCACTCCATTCTGGGGTGACAAGAGTGAGACTCCAACTCAAAAAAAAAAATATTAAACAGATCATACACTGACTTTTTAAAAATTAGATGGATAATACCACCGTGTATTTTAAGAAATTGAAGATTACAAATGAAAAGTTTTTTTAAAAATATGGAACACTTTAAAAAATCACATAAGCCAGGCTTGGTGGCTCAGCCTGTAAAGCTTTGGGAGGCTGAGGTGAGTGGATTGCCTGAGCCCACGGGTTCAAGACCTACCTGGGCAACTTGGCGAGACCTCATCTCTTCAATAAATCAAAAAATTAGCCGGGCGTGGTAGCGCGCGCCTGTAGTTCCAGCTACTTGGAAGGCTGAAGCGGAAGGATCGCTGGAGCCCAGCAGGTCAAGGCTACGGTGGCCGGGAGCGGCCACTGCCCTCCAATCTGGGTAACAGAGTGAGACTCCAACTCAAAAAAAAAAAAAAATTCACATGAGTAGCACGTTACATATGCCTATTTTTAGGTATGCTGTATTATACAACAGTAAATACTAATGTTAAAAAAGCAATTTTAACGAGGGACCCACTGAATCACTTGTGAGAAAGACACTTTCTAAGCAGGGCGTCTTCCTGTAGATTATGGCAGATGCCCCCCTAGGTGACTTCTAGGTAGCAGGATAAAAATCACTGCTCTATTGAGTACGATACACAGCAATGAGTGACACAGTCCTTAGGTATTGTTGCAGGGAAAAAAATCGTTGAAAACCAACTATTTTAACAGAAGAAGAAGGGGAGAAAAATTCTCTTAACTTCTTTTGAGTCAGGGTCTCACTCTGTTGCCCAGACCGGAGTGCAGTGGCACGCTCATGGCTACTGCAGTCTCAACCCACTGGACTCAGGCAATCCTGCTTCAGCCTTCCAAGTAGCTGGGACAACAGTCGCACACCACCACACCCAGTTAATTTTTTTATTTATTGTAGAGATGAGGTCTTGTCATTTTGCCCAGGCTGGTCTTGAACTCCTGGCCTCAAGCAATCCTCTCACCTCTGCCTCTCGAAGTGCTGGGATTACAGGTGCAAGCCACCACACCCAGCTCATGTATCTTAATTTTTTGAGTGGCTTTGCAGTCTGTGTTATGTACAACTCAGATGGAAACATCTGTTGAGTTTATTTACTTCCCATTAATAAAATCACTCCCCCAGAGAGTTCAGCATTATTCAACTCTAGGCCTGCCACAGAAACTTAAGACCACAGTAGAACACATTTTGCATCTTAAATGCTTATCTGTATAGAAATTTCTCTAATGTATAATTTCATTTTCCAATTGCCCAGTTCAAGGAAAATTTGCTACCATAAATAAGGATCTCATATTCAACTTGACAAAGTAGACTGTTCTCCACTAATAGTTAATAATAATGTTTTCCATTTTTCACTAATAAATTAAAAAGCAAAGAATCAATTCCCATTATTAATAAGGTACATTTCATGAGCTACCCAAATATACAAGTCTGTAGCTCCATCTGTCAAGTACTTCATAAATCATAAGAATCCTGGAGGTACAAGGATGCCCAAGTTTATTTTCTAAAAGAAAGTAGTAGAGACCAGGCTCGGTGGCTCAGCCTGTAAACCCAGCACTTTCAGAGGCCAAAGTGAGTGGATTGTCTGAGCCCACAAGTTTGAGACTCGTCGGGGCAACTTGGTGAGAACTCGTCTCTAACAAAAAAATTTTAAAAACTAGCCTGGCATGGTAGCCTGTGCCTATAGTTCTAGCTACTTGGAAGGCTGAGGTAGAAGGATCGCTAGAGTCCAGCAGGTCGACCCTGGGGACTGTGGGGTAGCTGTGAGTGTGCCACTGCACCCTGGCCTAGGTGATGGAGTGAGACTCCAACTCCAACTCCAAAAAAAACCAAGAAAGTAGCAGAAACCCTGATGAAAGAAGACATATTTCCCTGTGCCTAAGCAATTAGCTTCCGATTATAAGCGAATAATGATGGCTATAATTTTACTTTGTAAAAAGAAAATAAGTCATTAATTATAACTTGAGAGTTATGCAACAATTCAGTACAGCACAGATATATATAAAACAATCATAGCATAACTGTAACAGTCTTCTCATCACACTGTATCCATCATTGGAAACATGTATAAATATATTTAATTGGTTTACCAAGAGTTTACAGGAGATGAATAAGTAAATCCCAAAGAAAGGAAAGAAGAATCAGCGAAACATTAATTAAAAATACAGTATTCATTTTATTCCAGAATTCTGAGCTATTTTTCTTTCTTACAACCCACTGTAAAATAAGTATAAATTGACACATCCTTGAAAGGTCAATTTTGAAATACTTAGCAAATTTCTAAGTGCATATATCCTTTAACCCAGAAATTCTACTTCCAGTAATCCTACAGCATTACAAAAAAATATATGTACAATAATGGTCATAGCTACATTGTTTATAATATAACAGGAGAAAAAACTAGATACATTCATACTATGGAATATGGTATGATTGTTCAATACAATGAGGTAGTACTAATAAAGTAATATGGAAAGTGATATGACAAACATTATTAAATTTATGAAAGTTGTATAGCATAATATGATATCATTTTTTAAAGCAGTCACACATATGCTTGTAAATGCATAGGAAATGTCTGGAAACAAAAAACTGTCAAAATTGCTACCTCTTTTGAGTGGGGCTAAAAGGGGATTTGGAAGAGGTATTTTATTTTTTTAAAACAAAGAACATACATTAGTTTAAAATAAACCATCCCCATGAGGGGTACTCATGGCCCAAGTTTAGCAAGTTTCTGTTTAATTCATGTCTTGAATTCTTCCCTCTAATCTATGTAAGTCAGTTAGCTATCCATCTGACAAGCAAACCTAAATTTAAACTATAAAATAGTAAAGTGGTTTAAAAACTAAAGCTCTTCACAATGGTTATCTCCTTTATCTCACATTCCCAAAAAAAGGTAGGTAAGAAGAAATGCAAACATATATAAACATGCTCACGTGTTCTATAGCATCCGCCTGTCCATTACTGTATTCTCGGTATCGTCCAAGCATCTGGTCCACCTGTCGCAGGTTCCGACTAGTGTCCTCAAGAAATAAAATAGACTCTATTAATTATCCCAAGCATGGTTTTTTTCAATCTTAGTAGCATGTCAATCAGCTAAGTCAATAGTTCAATTTATATCATAATCAAGTTGAGTATCAACTTACTTCATACGTATCAAATAAAACTTAACACCACTGAGAGAGAAAAACTCAAATCCAACTGCAATTTACTTGTGTGAAATCTGAAGCACATAATTCAAATCCTTATTTAAGTTTCCCGAATAAGCCAGAAACAAAACCATAAATTTAAAATAACCCTAATCTCTAATTTGTACACATCAACAGATTCACACCTTTTTTAGAGAAAAAGAGTCCTGAAGGAGAAAATCTCGCAGTAGACTGTGTATAAGAGAAGCAAATCATTAGGATCAGTGTTTTTTCAATTATAACTTCACCTCAGAACTTGATGAGAAGAAAAGAAAAAGTGCCTTTAAACCAAAGCTATATACAACAAATTTAGTTCTAATTACAACAGAAATGATTTCTACCTAGACATGCTAGGTTTCACCTGAGAGATTAATTGAAGCATTTATTTCAGAAATATATACTTATTAACGTGTGTCATTGCAGGCAAAGTACAAAAATTCATACTCTAAAATCCCACTGGTTATGTTAGTTAAATAAATCTAAAAAGAAGAGACCTTCTGATTTTTAAATCAAAGCATGGCTTCTTCAACATAAATTATCCTCTTCTTATCTAAGCATACTAATCCAAAGCAATTAAAAGCCAAAATCCATGCTTATCCAGGCTAAGGCAAAAGTAAAGGATTAATGAGCAGAAAACAAATTATATTTCTGAGTTTTCTTTTTCACAGTGTAGCTGTGCCACCTTTCTCCACCTCTATTCTCAAGCCGTTTCTATGGAAAGGATGCAAACAGCCTCCACTCAAACGTCCAAACACTGTCAAAAGTCAGTCTCTAAATCAAAGTGACATCCCTGTATTATTCATCCACAAATAGTCTACCTTCCCAAAACGTGAGCAACTTCTCTAAAGACTCATGGCCACAAGAAGCTAAACTACAGTCATTTCTACTGGTTTCACTCCCACAATATTTTATGTGTAAATACTGCTTTCTCCCAAAACATTCCCTTCAACCTGTCATATATTTCTAATGCCTTTACAGTCAGAATAATGGCCCTCAAAGATATCCAAGTTCCAATCCCAACAACATGTGTACTGTACCTTACATAGACAAAGAGATTTTGCAAATGTGATTACATTAAAGACTTTGAGATGGAGAGATTCTCCTGGATTACTGAGCGGACCCAGTGAAATAACAAGCATCCTTTAAAAAAGGAAAGGAACCAGGTACTGTGGTTCATGATTGTAATCCTCAACATTTTGGTAAGCCAAGGCGGGAGGATTGCTTGAGCCCAGGAGTTTGAGACCAACCTAGGCAACATAGCAAGACCTCGTCTCTACAAAAATTTCTTTAGAAAAATTAGCCAGGTGTGATGGCACACACCTGCAGTCCCAGCTACTCAGGAGGCTGAGAAGGATCGTCTGTGTCCAGGAGTTGGAGGCTATGTCTGGCAGTGATTGAGCCACTGCACTCCAACCTGGCCAAAAGAGTGAGACCCCAACTCAAAGATAAATAAATAACAAATAATAAAAGTCAGGATACAGAAAGTAAGAGAGTTATATGATGTGAGAAGTACTTGACCCATCTCTGGAGAATGAAGGAAGGCAGTCACAAGACAAGAAATGCAGGCATCCTCCAGAAACTGGAAAAGGAAAGGGAACAGACTTTCCCCAGAGCCTCCGGAAAGGAAAGCAGCCCTAACCAACACTCTGAGACCCAGGGATACCAGTGTCAGACTTCGACCAACAAAACTTTAAGATAATAAATTGGTTTGAAGACAATGAAAGCCTTGCGATAATTTTCTATAGCAGTAAGAAAACTAATACAATGACTGCAACAATAGTCAGCTCAAAGTATGTAAAATGCAACCAGTGCGAAACTAACCTGTAAAGTACTTGTTATAGTGTTGACCTTCTCGGTGACTTCTACTGGAGGATGACTTCGAGTTCCCCTCTGAGTTGACCTGGCAGTCCATCGACTCACTCGGTCATGATAGCGCAAATGGTCTGACTCACTGGACGATTCTGCCATTGATGTACACAAATCCTTCAAAATAAATCCAGAACAAGGTCAAGCATGGTAAAAAGCATGGAAATAAAAGATTAATTTGACTATTTACCTTTTTGTGTATTTAGTACATTAGTCCTTTCACATATGGTAATTTCTATACACACAGCTTAAAAACACAAGTCCCTTCCCCATTTAAGCCTCCCTCCTTTATTCTTCCTGTTTTAAAAGAGCAATTCCTCAGATATTATCTTAGTCAGGTTTACAACTTCAAGTACTAAGAAACCTTTAGGTTTGTGCAATGTTTCCAAATTGTAGAAGTACCTTCACATATAGCACCTCACTTAATCCTATCAAGAACACTGTAAGGTAGATGAGAAAAGCATATTCTCTAAAGATATTCTAAGAAATGCATGACCATACATCTAAAGAGAAGCTAAGGCAATTTGGTATACATGTATAGATCCTAGAGTATTTAAAGAAAGCAACCATGTTTTTAAAATATCAGATAACAGCCTGTAATCCTAGCATTTTGGGAGGCCGAGGCGAGAGGATTGCCTGAGCCCGCGGGTTCAAGACTCACCCGGGCAACTTAGCGAGACCTCGTCTCTACAATAAATCAAATATTAGCCGGGCACGGTAGCGCGCGCCTGTAGTTCCAGCTACTTGGAAGGCTGAGACGGAAGGATTGCTGGAGCCCAGCAGGTCGAGGTTGCGGTGGCCAGGAGCGTGCCACTGCCCTCCAGCCTGGGTGACAGAGACTCCAAATAAAAAAATAAAACAAAATATCAGATAAAATAGAACTAAATAAACAAACAAGCAAGGACCCCTGTTATTGAGTTTAGGTCTTTCAAAATGAAATACAGGCTGTTTTGGCTGTATCAGAAAAAAGATCAATGCAATAGCTAGCTTCTTCACCCTAGCTGAGGAAGGGTTAGAGAGCATCCTGTCAAGTGTCCATGCCTCTCCTCTGCCCAAGCCCCTTGACTTCCTCGAGCACCCGCCTTCTCTGGTCCTTGCCTCCCTTCTCTTATACACCGAGTACAAAGGTACAGTGTCCATGATGTCTCTCCCTCTCACATCAGGAAACAGGAACAACACACTAAGGCCGAAACAACTGTTTTCTTTGCTTCTCCTAGCTCACAATTATTTAAGCCCAAAAAAAGAACAAAGATAAAAAGAAAAGGTATCTTACATGTAAAGTTCATCTTTTAAACAGGAAATCACTTGTGTGTGTGTGTGTGTGTGTGTGTGTGTGTGTGTGTCTCATAAATCTATGCCACACAACCTAAACTCTTTCACTCTTAAGTTAAAGCACTTTCTGACAATCATTTTCCATTAGTGAAAGCAGGAAAAACCAATATTTTCTGAGAGCCTGCTATTATGCCAGGTACTATGTAGATGCTTACATAGACAATTCAATTTAAGGCTCATAAAAACTTGTTAAATGAACACTATTAAGCCCTAATTTATAAAGGCAGCTAAGTCTACAAAATGTTAAGGCCCATATTCAACTTCATACACTAATTATAAGCGAAAGACCCAGAATGCAAACCTAAGATTCAACCAGCCTTCTCTGATTTCAACACTAAATTCATTCCACTATATCTGCTATCTGTTATATACTAAGTGTGAATAAGCTTAACAGTTAATAAAAATTACTAAAGATAGCAGCAGGCCAGGGCTCACATGTATCTACAGTTAACTCAACTCCTTCGCCTTTCATGTCAGCATAAAAATATCAAAAAAAGGGGAAATATCAAGTAGTAATCTGGAATCTTAGCTAGACCACAGGAAAAAAAAAAACTAGGTGGCATATCTATGCTGCATTTAATAAAAGTGCCCTGAAAACAAATAAAATCACTGGCCTAAGAATAAGGGGGTTCAGTTTCCTTATTCCTTTTATGTCTTATATAAGAGAAAATAATTATTATGCCTGGGATCCCCCTCTTTCACATCAGAATTCTATAGTTTAAAGCATAATAATTTTCATTTTAATATAAAGTTAAGAAATTATCAGTAAGAATATAAAGGTGATATTAAAAAAACAATGTGCTTATTATAATGGTTATTGGTGACAACAAGGAACAAAATAACTATCTTTGGAACAACTTGATTCTTCTAAGAGTATCAAAATTTTAATAATAATCAGTTGTCTACAGATAACATCATTGAGTTTAAATGGTATAAGAGACATGACTAATAAGTAGACAATTTGACTTTCAACTTGACTAAAAATAATTATAACTGAAACTTGTTTTTTTAATAATGAGGGGGAAATGTTTAAGTACAGACATTAATAAAATAGGCAAGCATGTATCTACCACATAGGACTAATAAAATAGGCAAGCATGTATCTACCACATAGGACTAACAAATATTATTATTCTGACATGTGTACTTCTAATAGTTTTTTTTTTTTTTTTTTGAGTTGAAGTCTCACTCTGTTGCCTAGACTGGAGTGCAGTGGCACACTCCTGGCCACCGCAGCCTCGACCTGCTGGGCTCTGGCAATCCTTCCATCTCAGCCTTCCAAGTAGCTGGAACTACAGGCGTACAGTACCATGCCCAGCTAATTTTTTGATTTATTGTAGAGATGAGGTCTTGTCAAGTTGCCCAGGTGGGTCTCCAACCCGTGGGCTCAGGCAATCCACTCACCTCGGCCTCCCAAAGTGCGGGATTACCGGCTGAGCCACCGAGCCCGGCTCTAATAGTTTTTAATAAAATATTTAGAACACAATAAATAGTCTTAGTACCCTCCAACCCCACCCCCCACCCAGTACTATTCCCAGCCTCCCCAGGGATAACCAGCATGATGTCACGTGTAATTTTCTGGGCCATGTTTTTATACTTTTACTACAGGTACCTCAAAATCTTTATATGGAACATACATTACAATCAATTGATAAATATTAACAAATGAAAAAATAGAGCACCTGGATTTAACTCTAAAAGAGGAAATCTTGGTGCCTTTAAATAAAATTAAGAATAACATAAACTAAATTATCTCCAGTTGTCACATAATATTGGAAAAAGGAATGACCTCTCACTTACCCCCACGAGGATTACATACTCTTAATATGACAGAATCACACTTTCCATGAGTTTCACTACACACACACAAAGTCTTCAGCTATTAATTTCAATCACTTTGAGCAATAAAAGATGTTCAAACTTTTGCATCTGATGGAACTCCTGCAGAGATACCAAGATTTAAGGTGAGATATATCTGAGAAATCTGCATGGATTTTTTTTTAAGTATATGAAACATTCAGCAATCATCTAAGGACTTTAATTACATAAGTTTCATAAACATTGAACTAAGGGAAATTTGAAAATCTGATTATAATAAAAAATATAAATGCGATGATTTTCATTGTTGAATAAAATGTAGCACTTTCTTCAACTACTACTGACAATTCGACTCCGACAGCTAAGAGAGCGCCTAACTAACCCTCAGTGCCACAATGCAGAAGGCAATATGGTGGTAGAGGTTCATCCTTACCAAAAGATGCCAGTCTATCAATAGCCAACACCACCACTCCCTAGACATGGGGTTGATGGAAGGAGAGAGAAACAGATGAAACTGGAGTAGCCACTGAAGTTGGCAAGAGGCTTGCGCCACATAACCAGAAACTAGAACAAAATGTATGAAGGGTCATGAAAATGGTTCCCAAGAGCCCCTTCACACAACTGACTCAAAAAGAAAATACATTTGCGTGTCAATTACATACTCATCCTCCATCATTAACAATGTATTATTTTATACTACAATTAAAAATTAATTTTAAAAAGTATGATGAATCCTAGTATCACTGGCACTACTGAAAACTGACCATGACTCTGAAAATCTTCTCCCAATGGAAAGTTACCTAACATATTTATTAGATTAATTCCATGTTGATAAAAACATATCAGGAATGGTCACATAAGAAAACAAATACATGGCCATGAAAAAACCTTCAAGAAAAAATAAACAATAAGATGCCTTTCTAGACCATTTAATTGTTTTCTTTTAAATAATAATGTCTATGGCTAGCCAGGCTATAGGGGAAGGAGCACTCTTATATGCTCCTAATGAGAGTGTGTAAATTGTAATAACTTGTCTGAATGTCAGCAGGCAATATGTGTCAAGAACAGTTTATTCCATTGCTCTAGTAATTCTACGTTCAAAAATTTCCCCAACAAAATAATTTACATATAGAAATTTATGTATAAGGATATTTACTGTGAAGTTATTACCTAATACAGGGAAAATAAAAATAACTTAAATTTCAAAATATAAGAAAATGGTTAAACTATGGTACATCTATACAATGAACAGTACACAGACATTAAAAATCGTTTCTCAAGAACATTTAATGGCAAAGCAATGGATAAAAGTATGAATTCCAATGTTTTAATAAATGCGACATGTGTTCTATATGTGTATATTAATTGCCAGTTCTCTGCTTGAATGTCTCTTTCAAAATTCATGTTAAAATTTAATCCCCAATGTGGGGCCTTTAGTAGGTAACTGGGTCATGAGGGCTGTGCCTCAGGAATAGATTAATCAGTTCATGAACTAATGGATCAGTGGGTTATCACAGGAGTGGGGCTGGTGACTTTAACAGAAGAGAAAGAACCAGAACTAGCACACTTGGTCCCCTCACCATGTGATGCCCTGCAAAGTCCCCACCAGCAAAAAGGGCTCCCATCAGATTTAGCCCCTCGGCCTTGAACTTGTCTGCTTCCATAACTGTAAGAAATAAATTCTTTTTCCTTATAAATTATCCAGTTTCAGGTATGCAGTTACAAGCAACAGAAAGCAGACTAGAAAAACTAATATATAAATTTAGAGGTACAGGAAAGGGTAGCGATAAAAAGAGAGAAATATATACCCAAAAAAAATTGCCATCCAGAGTTTATAGCTAATTTGTATTTTTTAAATGTTCCTATCTTTCATGAATTTTCTATAATAAATATGTATGGTGTCATCAGAAGGAAAACTAGAATGTATACTTAAAGAAAAACAAATACAAAGATCACCTCAGAGATAG